AGGCTAACAGCAGGGTGGGTGGTAGGGACTGATCCTTGGATGCCCTACCTTATAAATAGCCTTACCAGCTCCAACTGGAATGGGACCATTTCTCTGTGGTAGGACATGCATTATTCCTGTGTCTTGTCCAGTCTGTAGAGAAGTGTGTCCCTCTCTCTTCCTAGACCCACAAAGGCCCTGGAATGAATGATTTCACAGAAATAAACCCCAGTTTTTGTGGAGGCAGCCATGAATAGTGAGAAGAGCACATAATGAGGGCTTAGAGAGGCCTAGGGTAAATCCTAGCTATGGTTGGCTGAGGAATGGCCCTCCGAAGATGTCCATGTCCTAATTCCCAGAACCTGTGAATATGTTACTTTACATGGCCAAGGGACTTTGCAGATGCAAATCAGTTAAGGATTTTGAGATGAGAAGATTTCCTGGACTTTCTGGGGTGGGGTGAAATCACAAGGGTCCTTATACAAGGGAGTCAGGAAGTTCAGAGTCAGTAGTAGGAGATGTGATGATGGCAGCAGAGGCTGGAGTGATAATGAGGCCATAAGCAAGGGAGCAGGTAGCCTCCAGAAGCTTGGAAAGGCAAGGAGGTGATTCTCCCCTAGAACCTCCAAAGTGAATGCTGCCCTGACCATTTGGATATCTGACCTGAACTCGGAGAGAAATCTTATCCTAAGTTACTAAGTTTTGGTAATTCGTTATAGCAGCAATTGGAAACTAATTCAGCAGCTCTGCCACTTACTGCTGTGTGACTCTAGACAAGCTGTTAACCTCTCTGAGCCTCAGTTTATCATCATAAAATGAGTATAATGGTACCTCCCCTGTGTGTTTTTTTTTAAACATTTAGAGATAAGTGCCTACCTTAGTGCCTGGAGCATATTAGGGGCTGAGCAACTAAACAGAAGGCATTATATTATTATTGTTTCTGCTGATGCTGTTATTGTTGATCATTTAACTCCTCCACAGTACTACAGGACTATATGAAATCTATGTATTTTTCCTTTCATATGCTCAACAGAAGTGCAACCCACAAATTGTGCAATTATCTATTTAAACCCATCTTCTCTTACTCAACTAGTTACTCTTATGCCTGACCTCACACTGAAATCACTGGGACCTTTTAAAAATACATATGCCTGGTTCTGCCCCAAGCTAATTACATCAGAATCTCTGGGAGTGGAGCTGGACTTCAGTATTTTTAAAAAGCCCCCCAAGTGGTTCTGGTGGCAGCCAGGATAAAGAAACACTGAACCCAACCATTAGCTCCCTGGAGGCAGGAATCAGATCTTATTTATAGCTTTCTCTCCAGCACCTAACCTGGTGCCTGGCACTTAGTAGGTGCTAACTGTATGTGTTTAATTAATTTTTTTTTTTTGCTTAGGTAAACTGTTCACCTGATTTTTAAAATGTCAAAAAATATGCAGTGGAATGTCTTCTTCTTTATCAGACTATCCACCTCGTTCTTACTTCTCTCCAGCCACCAGTACAGGTTATCATTATTTCAGTTTGTTTTCAGAATATCTTTATGCAGAGATAAGCAAACTGAACATATATATATGAATGTCCACACGTGTGTGTGCATACGTTTATGTAAGAATGTGCCATTCTTCATTCTTCTCTGGTGGTATTACACATCCAAGGCCTCATGGTGGGTAGACTGTTCTTCTTCACACCTTGACTTTGAACTTGGCTGTGTGACTCATTTTGGTCAATGGGATGTTAGCTGACAAGACATGAGAGTCTTGAAAAGGTTTTGTGTGAATGGTCTTGCTCTCTTGTGCTCCACGATCCACCATGACAGAAACATGCCATGGTTAACTATTGCCTTCAACCTGGCCCTTGAATGAGGAACGTGGAACAGACCCAATCAAGACCTGAAGCTTGCAGCCTGAAGCAGGCTACCCTCAGAGTCCAGGCAAGATCAGCAGAACCCAATCAGCTGTCAGATCCACGGGCACAAGAATGAATCATGACTCTTAAGTTTTGGGGTGGTTTGCTAGGCAACATTATTGTGGGAATACCATACTCATGCTCCTCTGTGCCTTATTATTTGCCAGGATATCATGGAAATCTTCCTATACCAACGAATAGAGAGGTATCTCATTCTTTTAAAAAAATTTATATAGAATATCATTGTTCAGATACACCCTTATTTATTTAACTAGTCTATTCAAGGACATCCAGATTGTTCCCAATATTTTGCTTTTATAGTGAAAAAGGTTCTGCATTGAATAACCTTGTCTATACATCATTTTGTACAAGTTAAAATATCTCTGCAGGATAAATTCCCAAAAGGGAAACTGCTGTGTCAGAGAATATCTGCATTTATAATTTTGATAGATATCGTCAAATTATGCACCACAGGAACACTCCTACCAACAGTGCTTGAGAATACCTATTTCCCCACAGCTTTGCCAACACAGTGTGTTATTAACCTTTTGGATTTTTGCCAATCTGATGGGGAAAATGGTATCTCAGTGTAGCTTTAATTTGCATTTCTCTTTTTTTGAGTTAGATTGAGTATCGTTTCAATTGCTTAAGAGTCACTTGTGTTTTCATTTCCATAACTGTCTATTCATTACCATTTAAATCATTTTTCTATTAGATTGTCTTTTTCTAATTGATTCCCTCAACACATATTTGCTGAATAAATGAATGAAATAAGATGAATTTAAATAGGGGCCACTGAATACCATGGTTCAACGTCTCAAACCCAGCAGAAGCAAGAATAGATTTGGCATGGCTGTGGTTGTTCATTGCGTTCTTTGATAAAAAGCCCAGGACCCCACATTTAAACTCCTGATGGACAGCCCAGCAAGAGGCTGAGATAGAGAGGTACACGTGAGCAGCCTCTGGGGGCAAAGAGCTGAGAATATCCAGGGAGCTGCCTCTGTCCCTACTGGGACATTCAGTGGGAGTGGACTAGGGTGGCACTGTATGTTCTTTAGGGCCCAAAGATCTTACTCTCTGAGATGGCTGGTTGGGAGTGGATCTATTTGCTAGATATAGCACTAGACGCTAGATAAGCAGGTGGCTGGTTGACATCCGAGTGTGACTGTGAAGGAGGTAAATCTGGGCTCTCACCTGATGGAAGGTACATCAGACCCAGTCTGAATGCCTTCCATGAACCACAAAGCTGCCTGCTTTCCGGCCAGAGTGGGCTCAGCACCAGCTGCCACTGTTCTCGTGGTCTTAGAAATGGTTGTGGCCACGAGCCTCTCCTGTCATTCCTGCTGCGGCAGCTGTTCTTGACCCTTGCATCCTTTGTGTCCTCTGAGGCATGAGACATTGGGAAGTCCAGTTGATAGCCACCTGCATGAAATCAAGAAGTGCGGGGGAGTTGACACCCCACAGGGGACCCATGAGAACTGGTGGATAAATTATTCCCACCCCCAGATGGATGGTTCAGCGGTCTAGCCTCTCCAAAGTCTTCTACGATACCGAGCAACCAGCCTGTCCCCCAGCCGCTCCAGCTCTATAATGCATTCCCTTTGCTGTCGCCCCCCTTTTCCCTCACTCTTGCTTCCTTGGGAGCACACTCCCCAGGACAGTGCAGGCACGTGTTTTGGCCCCAGGCTCTGTTTTCTAGGGAACCCCTGCTAAGACCAAAAGTAAGCTCATTTCCATCTAGATGGGGGTTTCTATAAATTGGATATCGGACACCTAGATCCTAAAAGCAAAATGGCTTCTGGTATAACTGCAAAAATAGTTTAAAAAAAACAAACTTCTCTTCTTTGAGCACGTAGTATGTGCTCACTCTATGCTCAAAGTTTCACATGTATTATATCACAGGATCCCTACGAAATATGACTGCTACCATCTTATCAGTAAAGAAACTGAGTCTTTGGATGTTTAAGTTAATAAATGATTGAGAACCCAGTTCTGCTCAGCCCCAAACCAGTACTTGTGTGACTCAAAAGTCACGTGAAATGCTGACATGCATTTGAAAAAATGGCTTAACAGAGGAAGTCATATAAATTTGTCTGTGTGCCTCTTTATAGACTCATCCTTCTGTTTCATAGAAGTAAGAGGTTACTGATAACAATGCAGACCTTACAGGTGGGCAAATTTTGTGCTTTCCAAGGTCTTCCATTTTTTATCTTACCTACTAATCATGACTGAACCCCATTGATACAAAGCAGAAGCCAAAGCCCAGAGAAGCTAGGGGGCTTACCAAAAAATGCCCAGCTTGGGGCTACTGGAATTAGACCTGGATTTTTGTGCCCCCATTTATACATAGCTCTACCTTGCCTGCATCTGAGCACATATGTGTGATTCTTCTTGCTGCCTTAGAGATTGTTTTGGAAACATGCAATGGTGAAAATTTTTAAAATAAAACAAGAGCACAGAGTAAAAGATAAAGACTCACTTTTTGTCTCCTTAAAAAATCTTTAAAAAACTTTAAGTCTTTTCCATTTTCCAGGATGTGTGCACACACTTGCATGTATGTGTGTGTGTGTGTGTGTGTGTGTGTGTGTGTGTGTGTGTGTGTATCCTTTCAGAGTTATTCTATGAATATTCTGGTGCACATGTCTACATGGGACACACTTAAAACACTCAGTTGGCAGCTCATTATCCCATACCCTGCTTGGAGATTATTTCTTCTCCACGCATGTCAGTTGCTTCTCTTTTGAGAAACATTTGTTGCATGGTATGGACAGACCTGAAGTCATTTGTCTGACTCTCCATTGAGAACAGGCAGGTTGCCTTCTGCCTCCCGTTGTGCATTTGTAATTAGAGAGCATCACTTAATGGATGAGAGGATAGGAAGTGAAGGACTTACTCAAGGACATGCGGCTCTTTGGTGGCATAGCTGGGATTTGAACGTACATCTCCTGAGCCTGGTCCACCATGTTCATGGCTCCTTCACAAAGGTGCAGGTGCTTTGGAAAAAGGAGAGGTCTGGCACTAGCACCCCAAAAGACCAGTTTGGAGGAACAGGAATAGACATGCCCCCTGCTTCTAGGCAGTGTCTCACACAGCCATTCTCATGATTCTCTTGACAGGTAACAGCCACAAACAACCTTTCTCCAGTGCCCCTCGTGCCCCTCTGCTCTAGTCCAGCACAGCAGCTCTGCAAGCCCCAGGACACCTCCTGGATGACAGGCAAGTCATTGATTAGCCCCGAGAATCTGCTGAAAGCAGGCTCTGTTTAAAGAAGCACATGTTTCTGGGTGCTGAGTCACATTGGGCTGGCCCAGCAGGCCTGAGTCAGGGCGGCATGGATGTTCACAGCACAGGGGCTGCTGTAGCCGGACTCAGACGTCCCTGAAGAGGTGCAGAGCTAAGACACCACATTTGATAAGATGAAATATGATACCTGGAGCCCCCCATCAGTGTCTAGATTTTAAACTTAGGTATTCTTGTTCCCTCCCCAGTGACCCCTGCTTTTCACTTATAATGGCAGTCAGTCAGCCAAAATTGTTATACAGAGACCCAGATTTAAATCCAAGCTCTGCTGCTTACCAGCTGTGCAGCCTTGGGCAAGTTGCATAGCCTCTCTGAGCCGCAGTGCCTTCATTTGTAAATGGAGTTAATAGCTCCCTTGAGAGTGTGGGGGAGAGGTATATATAGCAACATATGGGAAGCCCATGTCACAGTAACTGGCATGTAGTAAGAATTCAACAACTGACAGCAAATTAGAATAAATTAAGTTAAATTTGAGTTCAGCACTCTGCTAGGCACAGTTGGAAAACACCAAGCACAATGCAGTATGATCCTGGATCTCATGAAAGTTGTTTAAAGAAGACATAAGCTAATGAAGTTATACTTAACAAGCCTGAACTTTGCAACATTCAGATAGTTATTGAGAATCTGCTCTGGTTCAGGTAAGGTACTGACTGAGGCTCTGGGGATGCACAAAAGGCTTGTGACCTCAAGCAACTCACTGTCTAACGGGGAAGACATGCAAACATATAATTAGATCACAATGGGAAAAATTCTTCAGTATGTTTAAAGTGAGATGGAAATTCCCGTTAAGGAGCAGCTGAGTCTGCCCTGCCTGGGACATTCGGGAGAGGCTTCTGAAAGGAAAGAAACATGGCAAATAAATGGCAGGTGTTCATCACTCTTCATTCTGTGTCCATGGCAGACATCAGTCATCAGTCTTGGTACTGAGCAGGATATGCATCCTCTGCATCCTTCTCAACACAATGCTCCAGACAGCCCTTACCAGTCAATCAATGCTGATATGCTGAATGACCTTTGTATCCCCAGTTAAAAGGTTATCAAGAAGTTAAAAAGTGTCCAGTCATGGGAGGCAGGTAATTTGAGCACTGGATCTCATAGAAGAGAGCTGGTCTGGAGAGAGCTATTAGGAAGCTTGGAATCTAGCTGTGGCTTTGACACTTAGGTGCCGAGTAATCTCTCTGAATCTGGTTTCTTCTAAGAGATTCTAATTCTTGGAATTTGGAGACAAGAGAAGGGGGGTCCAGTCTGGGTGTTCAAGGAAGGCTTACCACAGCAGGGGGGATTTCAGGGGACTTTGAAGGACAGACATAATTTGCATCAACAGAGAGCAGTGGGTGCATCTGTGTTCTAAGAGAACGAGGGAACGTGGAGGGTGGGCAATGGGCGGATTTCATGATCTACTCCTGTCTACCTTCTCCAAAATAAAATCAAACACACCCCCTGCAGTCTATTCTGTGGTGTGGGGAAAAGGTAGTGGGAGTGTAGGGGAGGAGTCACACTCATGAAAAAGTGGGGCCAGTTTGCCCCCAGATTCATTGCTCTCCCTTTCCTGTTCTGTTAGCATGGGGAGTAGGGAGCCCTTTAGGCTACGTTTCTTGGGCTCCCTAACTTCTGCCTGGGGACAGCCCATGGGAGACCTGGGCAGGATCCCCCTATAATTTCAGCTTTTGCCTTGTGGCCCTGGTCCCTGGGCTCTAGTATTACCTCTTCCTCCCTCTGTCTATCCAGAACTGGGACAATTGTGGCTTTTTACTCTGGCTGATCTCTGGATGGTCTTGACATCCCCCCTTAGCTTCTGACTTTACCATCCCCCATTTAATTTCCTGCATTAAATTTCATCTGAAATACTTGGAGTGGTGTCTGTTTTCCTGGCTGGGACTGTCTGACTGATACCGAACTATTAAGGGTTTCATTTGGAACCCTCAAACCATTAAGAGCATGTTTTCTCTGTAGAGTTGTCTGATCCACAAAGGGAGTTTGGTTTTCTTTGAGAGGAATTTTTCAGCTGCTGCTTTGAGAGAGAGCAGTCACCCCTTTCTGGAGACTGTGTTTGCTGGAATTCATCAAACATCCCGGCTGCTGGTCTGCATGGTGCCAGCTGGTCAGGGAGGAGCTTACCTATGGGGAGTCAAGAGATTTTCATCTTGAAAGCTGTAGGGAAGAGAGTGTGATGTTTTAACTGTCTGTGTTAGTGTTCTTTTATGCCCAAATTCAAGTTTTTCAGAAGAAAGGCCACTTCCCCCAATTTTGGCTCTGAGAAGTTATGTGCAGCTCATGAGATCATTTCTGCCCACAGCAAGGGTAGAAGTGAGCAAGTGAAGACCCACAGCTTCCTGCTCTGCCTCACAGAGCAGAACATTGACAAGCCATGTGGGGAAGCTCAGTGTTTCAGACTGTGGCTCATAGAGCCTGTCCCACCTAAGGTGACTTTGCCACTTAGCAATTTTATGTCAATTTTACTCCATCCAGAGTGAGAAGGCCCCACCAAGTAGCAAAGAGATGCTAGAAGGACCCCGACTGATGTCATGACATCTGAGTTAGGGTCACAGTTCTGCCCATCTCTGTATGAAATCACAGCTTCTGTTTCCCCAGTTTGAGGTGGTGCCTGGCTGAGGTCATTTCTGATGCCTTCGTTCAGTAAGGCAGTTAACTAAGAGGCCACGTGGGTGAGCCCTGGAGTCACACTTCTGAGTTCAATCCCAGCTCTGCCACCCACTGGTCTGTCCTTGGGCAAGTTACTTGACCTCTCTGGGCTGCAATTTCCTTCTAGGAAGACTAGGTGTGATAATGATAGTGGCTTCCTCATGGGGCTTTTGTGTGTGTGGGGGGCAGTTAATAAGAAATTGTAATACACTTCAGCCATAAAAAAGGAGTGAAACACTGACATACACTACAACATGGAGGAACCTTGAAAACGTGATGCTGAATGAAAAAAGTCAGAGATGAAAGGCCATGTGATGTGATTCCATTTATATGAAATTTCCAGAATAGGCAAATCCACAGAGACAGGTGGTTTCCAGGGGCTGGGTGATGGGAAATGGGGAGTGATAGTGATGGGCACTGGGTTTCTTTTTGGGGTGATGAAAATCCTTGGGAATTACATAGTGTTAGTGGTTGCACAACTCTGTCAATATGTTAAAAACAACTGAATTGCGCACTTTTAAATGGTGAATTCTGCGGTATGTGGATTGTTTCAATTGAAACAAATAAAAATAAAAGATACATATGTCAAGTCCTCAGCTCACAGTACATTCTCAATGCACCACCTTTCCCCTGGATTATTGCAGTGGCCTCCTAACTGGTCTTTCCACCTCTCCCCTTGCTCCCCGTCAGAGCACTCAGTGGCATGTGCGTTCATGTCACTCCTGCTCTCTAAACTCTTCTATGGTTCCCATCTCGAGCAATAACCCAAGTCATTACAACGGCCTACAGGGTCCTACATCATATGGCTCCTGATTTCCTCTCTCATTTTATCTCCTGGGATCCTTCCCTTGCTCACTCTGCTTCAACTCTGTTAGTCTTTTGCTGCTCCTTAACTTACACCCGGTATATCCCTACCTCAGGACCTTTGCACTTGCCATTCCATCTGCCTGGAACAAACTTCCCTTATATATATGCTGGGTTTGTTCTTTTACTTCCTTCAGGTTTCACTTGTATGTTACCTTTTCAGTGAGACATTCCCTGACCACTCAGTTCTCAAGAACTTATTATTGACAGGCTGATTTTGGAACTTGGATTCTAGACGTAGCTCAACATACTGACCATGTGGCCTGGGATCAGGCTATTCTCCCTGATAGAGGGTGTATATTCTGAAATAATTTTTAGTTATACAAGTAGCATAGAATTACATTTTTATAAAATATTAAAATTTACAGATAAATAGAAACTGCCTACTCTGATACCTGCTATTTGCCTCCCTATACATTTATTGCCAGGGTGTCAGCTCTCTGAGGGCAGGATTTTTGTGTCTTGTTCACTGCTATATCCTCAGTGCCTAGAACAGTGCCTGGCACAGTCAGTACTCACTATTATTTGACTGAATAAATAAATGTTAGCTCTTACTATAATTTATAACAAACTTGCTGAGATCTTTAATTTTTTTATTTTCCTTTCATGGATGTCTTTTGCAAATTTTGACCTGGCATCTCTTTGAGGCCTGTTTCTTTTCTTCCTCCCATCTCATCCCTGCTGGGTGCTGGTTTTACAAGTAAATATCATCCTTCTGGTATAATTACAAAGTTGTTCTAGAAAATAGTTTTATCTCACTTTGAAGTGAACCCTCTTCTTCTTTAAAAGACATCAGAACTCCCTACTGAATTCTTCACTGAAATGAAATTAGTTTCCTAAAATGATGCAGAAATCAATCTGTGTGTTGCTGTCAGTTGGAAGACTTTGAAATTAACTGTCTTAGCTAACCTTGTTGAAACCTAACTATGTTACGTTTCATGCATAAGAACATTATCTCCTAGGTGGCTTCTGGTGGGCTGTGAATCCTGGTGCATTCTCTCTTGAGCAGGAGAACGTAATTTTTGTTGGTTCCAAAATTAAGGTGGAGAACAATATGGTAGTGGGAAGAACTCATATATTGGGAGGCCAATTTTAGAACTTGGCTTCTAGAAATAGCTCAAAGTAGTGACCATGTGGCCTGGGGTCAGGCTATTCTTTCCAAACACTTTAGAGGGGGTACATTCTGAAATAATTTTTAATTAAACAAATAGCACAGAAATACATTTTTATAAAAAACTGAAATTTACAAAGTTGACATCCTGTTTGACCATGACTGTCACATGCTGCTGAAATAGTCTGTCAGTTGCTCATTTATATTTCCCGATAATTTTCTATGCATTTGTGTATTATAATATATAGTACTGTTACATGAATGTGTTTTATATAAATGTACAATACTATAATAT